ATAGTGAGTAACAGAATGAGTTACTTTTAAAAAGTTATGCCCCAAGTTCTGTCTGTGCCACAGATGGCTAATTTAGCTGAAATAATATGGTCTATAAATTGTGCTCTGCAAAAAACACATTATGTCTTTCAAAGCCACAAAAGACTAAGTACAGATCATCACACAAATTTCTGGAGCAATGCAAGCCCAACCCCTTAACCTGTTGTCAAACCTCTTTCAGCTACTGTTTTTATAAAGCTGTGGGATATGCATGACTTGGTTAAAATTTGGGAGAATGGAAGTCATGGGGCAGGTCTCATTTTATTAAGCTTCTCCCACCTATCCGACCCAAATTCAAGGACTGACTCACTCACCCACGTATTGACATACACACATTTCTGAAGATTGCATGCTTGGAGTTTGTGATAACTGTGAATGAATCGAAGTGACATGGTAACTAAGTAACAAAGAACAAATGATTATATTTTATATAATTCCCATTTTCACACTTCAACACTCTGCTTTTCTACATCATGATGTGTAAACTCAAGTGGCAAGAAAAGAAACAAAGGTTGTTAAGCTCCTACTTATCAACATGCTGTGATATCTTTTGCAAATAAAGGGCCACCCTTTTGTTGTTCTCTGGCATGTTACAAATGTGTGCTTCAGAAAGGATAAGAGATATCCTTTATCAAACAAATATGGTAGCCTTCTCCTCGAGGACACCCGGTTAGGAAACACTGGATTGGGAGTACATCCATACAGTTATAGCTTTTGATATCCCTAAATGCTATAATGTCATCCTACAGAAAACCTAGGGTTTAGTATTGTGGTACAGAAGAATGCAGTGAAGTTTTCTGGCAGAGAATTCCAAGTCCTTCATGAAATTATAAACCCCGAGATTCTTCAGGATGGGTTCATGGTGATTAATATGGTGTCAAACTACTATAATTGTGTTGTGTACATCCATTCCAGGACTTTGACTGGTGAACTTTAATAGCGTAACGCACTGCTCAGAAAATATGCCCTGCATCTCAGCATCCAGAAATATAAACTCCTGGGAAATGAGTTTTCATGTAACACAATAAAAAGTAAAGCATTTTATGTATGAACAGAGTATTTCTGTATTGCACAGGTGTTTATTTCAAAATGGATAAATTCCTGGTAGATGCAGCTGGAGTGAAAAGGAAAGAAGCAGGAAAATTGTAGCACAATGATTCAGAAACAGTTAGTAAAGAACCTTTCTCTTCAGGCAGGCTTTCCATTAATGACAGGCTGTCGGTGAAGATTTTTAAATGAGTTGATTTCTGCATTGTTGCTTGTGAATCTTTTTTTAAAGTAATGTTTTACCTAACATTCTTAATATATTACTATTAACCTGTTTAATATTGGGATAATTCACTGTTTCTGTCTGTAATATTGAATTTTAACGCTGTAAGCCACCATGGGTCCTTTCTTAGAAGAAAGATGGGGTAAAATATTATAGATAGATAGATAGATAGATAGATAGATAGATAGATAGATAGATAGATAGATAGATAGATAGATAGATAGATAGATAGATAGATAGATAGATAGATAAACTTGACATACCACAGGAACAGTAAAACAAGGTTTCAAGCAAGATCTCACCGTTTCTTTTCCTTCCTGTATCAGTTTTGGATTCCCATGATTTCATCGCCTTCTTCCGGCATACCATGGGAACAGTAAAACAAGGTTTCAAGCACCGTTTCTTTTCCTTCATGTATCAGTTGTGGATTCCCATGATTTCATCGCCTTCTTCCCTTAAAAGAGATTCCCTGGCATGGTCAAAGCAGTCTGGATGTATATTAATGTATAGCAATTAATTTTTCTCTGTCTTGGAGATTATGGATACGAATCATCACAGGAGATTATGGATTATGAATCATCACAGGAACCTCCCAATGTGTGTTGCACACGACTTTGCATTCTGTTTTGTCAAGTGCAAGAGCCTGAACCAGAGATGGGCATGAAGCCCATTGTGCCCCTTTGCCATAACTTGTCTGCATGGTGTTGCTCCCCCCACCCTTCTCACTCAAAGGCACGCTGACCTACCTTCTCCTCTGAGTGGCCAGCTGCCGGAGGAGGTGGAGAAGGGAAGTCCAGTCTGCTGTCTGGACTGGAAGATCGTGTGACAAAGAGGGATGGAGTGCGCTCACGGGCCGATGAGTGGAGGTCCCGGTGAGGCAGTGGAGGAAAGGGACATGCTGCTGCACAGACAACTTTTGATGAAGGGGCACAAAGTGCTTCATGCCCATCTGTAGTCTGATCTAGACATGAATTCTAATACAAAACTAGGAGGGGTTAATTATTTATTTATGTATTTATTCTATTTATACCCCGCCTATCTGGTTGATATGACCACTCTAGGCGGCTATACATACATCCCTTGGTCCTGATCCAGACATGGCCAACTGCATCTGTAATTTAAATTGCAAAATGATGCCCCTCTGTTTTTGAGGTTTGGTAATGTGCATCCGGCAGAGCCAGCCTAAACAAACCATAGAAGGCAGCTGAGAGAGACTGGGATAAGGCAGAAGTGCCCTGCCTTGAGAATGTGATGTCCAATCTGGCATTAGAGAGCTCTGCAGTTGTAGATCTGTTGCCTGCGGTGTTCCTGCCAGCAGAAAAGTCCTAAATGGGTATTACAGGGTTGGGAAAACAGAGTGCAAACATACTTGCAAGAAAGACTATGTGCCTATGGCAGGGGAGGCAAGGGGAATAGTGATGGAGACAGGTGGCTATGTTTACTTGAAGGGTTCTTTGCTTCATCAAATTTGTCTCTTCTTGAGAGACAAGGGAAAATTACATTTATGGACTGCAAGTACTCTGCCTTTGATTGCCAGAGGGCAGAAATAATTCCATTCTTCAAAAAAACCTCCAGTTTATGAAAATGGCATATTGTGCTTCCTGTGCATCATTCAAAATGCCAAGAAATGGCCAAATATTTGCTACACAATATTTTGTCTGTGTAGCCAGCAGAAAAAAAGGATGCCAAGCCTTACATAGCCGAGGGCAGCCTGAATGTTGACAACACCAATGATAGCAGTTAAGATGGTCTACAGGATACCCTCTTGTGATCTGTGCCATTCGTGCTGTGACACGAGGCAAGGGAAAATGCCAGAAGCTGACTCCTTTTTTTCATCAGTCAGCTATTTCTCACCCAAACACAAAGCAATTGCCAAGGCTGGTTTTTTTTTTGACAAATGTGTGTGTGTGGGGAAAACAAATGGGGCCAGCCATTCTTTATCAAAATAAGCAAGCTTGGTATTTTGAATTTATATGGTTATTTTAAATCTGGAGGTATTTAGAGTTGCCTATCTCTGAATGGGGGTGTGGAACAGTTTTACATTTTACAAGTCATAACTCAAAAGCCCTTTGCCCAAACTTCCCCAAATTTTGAATAGATCAAAACTATCTGCGACACCTGTGCCCAACTTAGTGCTGATCTGGAGCTCAGTTGAAAAGTTACAGTGTTTTGTTTGGACTGCCCCTCATTTTTAGAATAGCTGTATAGAATACTGATTTGCTTTGCCAGCAAAAAGATAATTGCTGCACAAATGATAGATAACTCAGAAGAAGAAGAGGAAAATCCTCAATCCCTGAATGTCATAGCAGGAGGTTTTTCTAATCTTTCAGAATTTGCTAGTTAGCTTGCTGATTAGTGATTAGTCTTCAGGATTTAATCATCATATTCGTCTGAAGTTGGCTTCTCACACATGAAAGTCTGCATGAATTAATTAATTAGCCATCAGTCATTGTCAGTGATACAGAACAATGACTCTTAGGATATCAACAGCGGTCTTAAGGGTGTGAAATGTCACACTATTGACAACTTGTGCCCAGAAAACAAACAGTCTCTTTGTTTTGAGGCCATTTCTAACTGTGTAAATATTTGCCATGTTGTTCCACTCTTATGTCTGAGGAAGTGGACTTGTCCACGAAAGCTCTCATTAAAATACAGCACCACATATGATAATATGTGCCAATTTCTTCATTACATTTCCAACAGGCCTTAGAATAATCTGAATTTATTATATTCAATTTCACTGGAGTCATGTACCACCTTAAACTAATTTTTAAAAAAATTCCTTTATTCTTACCGACATTAATCTTAAAATTCTCATCTTCCTACTCCCTTTCTCAAAGCATCTTTCTGAATGTCTTCATGTGATGATAGGAATTGTTTGTACTTAGTACATTCTCCATATTTGCCGTTAGTTTTCAATCATTCATTTGTCCAACTATCTAATTGGATATAATTATACTATGATAGTTTATTAGTTTGAAGTTTAACTATAATCTGATCCTTCAATCTCATTTTAGTCATCCAATCCTTCAGTCTGGCAACTTTTTTATCCTTAATCAGCTAAATCCTTCAAGTTTGCTGGGAAATTTTCTATTTCGGTCACCAATTTTAGTGATGAAGTAAAGGGGCATAACTTATTTTTGTTTTAAAAAGATGGAAAATAATAATAGCTTTTCAAAAATATCCACAAGGGGATAACGTTGAAAGGGAAACCTATACTTTTACCAACTCCTGTCCTGGACTTAAAACAGACAGACCTTCTACCATGTAATTCTCCATACAACTTAAACTTGTTTCTGTAAAGCTCCTCTAGTCTAACACCAATTTATCTAGGATTAAATCTCGTTGTACTCAACGGTACTTATTTCAGAGTAGATACACATAGGATTGGACCCCACTCACAGTAATCTCTTCCTGTTGAGACATTTTGTCCACATCCTGTTCAAAAAGCAGAAATTTCAACCTTAGGTATGATAAAGCTTTTTAATGAAAGCATGCGCCACAGTAGCTTGTCAGCCAATTAAACTGAAAGCATTCAACATCCTTGGAGTACTTCCTCATTAGAAAAGGGTTCATCGAACAAATCAACTTCAGGAGGTTCCCTAAGGGGGAAAAGTCTTCCTAATTATAATGTGTTTTGTAAATCAAAGGAAAACTCTAAAGAGTAACAAATCATTGTGTTTCTTTCTAGGGACTTGGGTTACGTTTGGAGGTCAAATTTCAGATGAGGTAAGTGATGTTTCAGTAGAGTACCATTTATACAACAGAATTTGGGTGCTTTGCAAAAATTCAGACATAATTTTAATTAAAAGTCAAGTCACTGATGTCAGAATAAATTGATTCTATTCCTGTCACAGGAAATCATCATACATAAGAGGAAAATCTTGCACTTCTTATGTGCTTCATAACACTGTCTCTTCTTTCTAAACCGGTATTTGTATATATATAAATAACCTTCTCGGTTTAAAGTGGTCCTGCAGCCCAATTAAAATACTTTTTAAAATGGCATTATTATTCCCTAAAATAAAAATATAAATATGACACTGATGAAAAATACGTTTTAAAGCTAGCATATTGTGTGTGATTAACAGAATAAGCTGTGGGTTAAGGAGTTTTGATGTGGACATGGTCAGCCTCTGGCGCTACAGAGCTGGCGTTGGCTGGGTTTCCTGGCACAAACTCCATGGGCTCAACTTCAGGTTTAAACATAAGGGTTTTTTTATTTAGAGTTGCACTGCAACTTTCCAGCATCCCTGCAACCTTGCAAGAAGTAGGTTGAGGGCCATACACCAGTCCTTGGGCCTCTCCCTCCCTCAGTGGGATCCTCAGTTATCTTCACTGAGAGTCCCCACAGCGCAGGTCCGTCAATATGAAACTTTGCCCGGCTCAAAGAGGGTTGGTATTGTCTGTGATATGGATGCCACCTGCCCAGCCCTTCCCTGCCTTTCCACCTGGTCCTTGCCTGTCCAGATAAGGAGGCTCTGCCATCAGTTAGCAGTGGTCCTTCAGCTGGAGGAATGTCACACAGCCCTCCCGGTCCCTTCAGGCCACAGATGCTCCTCCTGGGCATCAACCCAAGTTCCTTCTTCTTCTGTTGACCAGCAGCTTCCTGAAGCCTTCTCTTCACTCCTTTTTATCTGGTTCCTGGCTGCTTCTGGCAGGGGTTCCTCATTAGGCTCTTGCACCTTCCCCAGCTGTCTTCTCTCCCTCTTTCCCCATGCCTTATTCTTTTCCCCTGGCTGAGCTTTCTCGGCCATCTTAAAGAGGCCCGACAGCTCACCGTGAGCATGCTGACCACCAGGCATGCTCGCCCTGTCACATCTGATTGTTCTAAGCTGTGGCATCTACAAACAACACTGAGCCCAATGGCGTAAAACTATGAATATGTGACTACCACAGCCTGCGTCTCTCCTGTAATGCTTCATTAAATAGATCATCTTTCTATTGAATCTTTGAAATGTACGGACTTCATTTGGGCCTCTGTTTTGAGTTCTTGAAAAGCTGTAACACCATTAAAATATGTTAATCTTTATGTCCCACTTTTTGTCGGAGTTCATGGTCCTCCTTTCTACATTTATTCTCACAACAACCTTCTGATGCAGATTAGGCTGAGAGAGAATGAAAGGCACAAGGACATCCACTGAGTTTCATGAACGAGTGGGAATCTGAGTCTGCATCTTCCAAGTCCCAGTCCAGCACTCTACTCAGTACAACACATGGAACACATCAGTATAGGAACACATCCTTATACTTAAGGATCATTTCTAATTCCTCTATAGCTACCCCTCCAAATCTCAGTTTTGTTTTGATTTCTTGGCTACCATCTCCAATTGAAATGGTTATTGAACTGAGGTATAAACAAATATTAACCATTTAGGTATCCTAATTATCAACATTAAAGTGACACAATTTTTCTGTAGATACTGTTCTTCTCTTCTTGATGTTCAACTATAATCCTATTTTTGTATTTTCTTTTTTAACCTTCTTTGCTAGCTGTTTCCAGCCGTTGCTGCTTTCTGCCAGTAATATAGTATTATCTGTATATCTTGAATTAGAATGTTTCTTCCACCAATTTTCATCTCCCCTTCATCTGAACCCAATCCAGCTTGCTATGGGATATGGTCGGCGTATAGATTGAACAGGGAGATAAAGAACAGTCTTTATCTGACCACTTTTCCATTTGTAATCCTTTCTGTTTCTCTGTGTTCTATCTTCATAGGAGTGCAGAGTGTAGTTTGTGCATTGGGATAATCAAATGTTCTGGTGCACACATTTCATGTAGATAGATGTTTGGCTTTTCATAATGCACGGAGTCAAAGACTTCACTGTCATCTATAAAGCATGGCTTTTCATAATGCATGGAGTCAAAGACTTTACTGTCATCTATAAAGCACAGGCTGGTTTTATTTTGAAATTTTTTGTACTTCAAGCTGGTTTTATTTTGAAATTTTTTGTACTTTCCAGTATGCAATACAATCTCTTGTGGCTCTTCCATTTTTCAATCCAACTTGGACGTTTGGCATTTCTCACTCCATGTATGGCAGTATCTTTGTTATACAATCTTAAGCATCACTTTGCTTGCACACAAAATTAATGTCATGGTCCTATACTTAACTGATGTATTTCAGATCGTCGTTGTGATTAAAATATATATTGAATGTTTTCAGTCTGTGGGCCATGGTTTTCCATTTTTGTTGGCATATGGTTGCTAGGTTTGTGACACATTCATTCTCCGTAGCTCAAAGCAGCTCTTTTAGTGGTCCATTTTCTCCCAGTAATTTATTATGTCCTAGTGCTTTCAGAGCAGCTTTTACTTCAATTATTTTCTACAGGAGCTCTCTTGTTTTCTTCCTGGTTTTTTTTGTTCTATTCTTTTTCTTTGCACTGATAGTTATAATAGTTCTCTTTGTGTCTATGTGCCAGTCACACAAAAATGGCATTTAGGATACTGATCCTATTCCCATCACATTTTACTTTTTTTGTCTGTTGTCAAGCATTTTAGAATAGTAATTCATAGGATTTTCATTTATGTTGACTGCAAGAACAGTCTTTCTGTATTCTTCCTTGGCAATATCCCTGATTTCAATCCATAGTTGTTCTGGTTTAGAATGAAGTGAGTTTATTCATGCAAATCTGCTCTTTACACAGTCTTTAAATTCCTCAAGAATGACATTTATATGATGTTTTGGCACTATGACTGTTCTAATGTTGTTCTTCACCTTTACCTTCGATAGTGATCTTTTATTATTATTGCAATCTACTTCTGGTCTTGTTTTTGCAGAAAGAATAGAGGTTCTTCATTTTCAGTTTACATAGTGTAGTTGCTTTTGTATGGGCCATCTGGTGATATCCTTGTACAAAATACTGTAGAAAAGTGATTGTGTGAAACCTTTTTTTGTTTTTTTTGCAATCAATTCTGTGATTTGTTTTCCTGCTTCGTGTCTGATTCCTTAGCCAAATTCTCCACTGATGTTTGGTTCTGCTTTAATTCTTGATGTTGCATTCCTATCACCCATGATTTGGTGCATGCATATCCTATTTTGCTATGTGACCAGCCTTCTCTGGGATACCTGCAGAAAAGTTGTCAATTTCCTCTTTCTCAGTGTCTGTAGTTATAATATAGACTTGAATAATGTTTGTATAGGATAGGTTTTCCATGAAGACTGATGATTATTAGTCAATCAGAGTTTGCATTATAGGTTCAAAGTGTCTGTGCTATGTCTTGCCTCAGTATTTCTTCCGATTTTGCTCTTGACAGAGTGAAACACTTTGATTGCAAATGTCCAATTTCATCCACTTTAATTTTTACAAGCCAACTTTTATAATGCTTAGTTCACTTCTTGTTTTATGATTTCAAGTTTTATTTTATTTGTATTATATTCCATGTTTCAGTTATATGTATCATGCAGCACCAAATTTTCCTTTTTCTTCTGTGCACATTAGCAACTAGATGTCCTTTTAGCATCCAGTTGCTTCATTAGCAACAATTCTACTTATCCTTTGCTCTTCCCAAATATCTGAAGAAGTGCCTTCAAACATGGGAGTCTCATCTTCCAGTACTATCTCTTGTTTCATTTTGGCTTGTTGCATCATAGATTTTTTGAGGTATAAAATATTTAGAATTAGAATTTATAATTGCTTTCTTGTGTGCAGTACCAACAAGAGTTAGCTTGAGAGTCATTGCCACTATCTATGAAGAATCCTTTGTCTGTGTCACACACACCCCATTATTATTCAAGAATTTCTCTGCCCATAACACAGTTGGAACTATCAATTCTCTTCTGCCCATATGACTGTTCATCCCTGATGGGTGTTTCTTAGTCCATTATCTCAGTTTTGACAATTCTGCCCTAAGTGACTCTGTGAGGAGTCCAGGCTCTTTACAACATCTAGCTTCTGATGGTATTGTTTTCAGCTACCCTGAAGCCTTCACTATGTTAAGATGTGCATCCAAGTGATAATCTCATAGGTACGTAAAATTGCACTGTGAGGCAAAGGAGAGGAAGCAATGCTTCTTTCTCCATCTCTGCAATACTGTTTAGTTTGTATATCTGGAAGAGAGCTATTTATCTGCAAACATAAATGCACCCTCTATAGACACATGTATGGGCATTGCCGAAATTGGATTTCATCATTCATTAATGCTGTCTTCATTGTCCTAGAATACTAGAACGCTCTTGGCAATTTAATTTATTATATTTTATTGCCATTTTTCTTACCATGGGGGATGCAAGGCAGCTCACAATCAATTAACGCAACATAATAAACACAATTAAAAACACAATAAAGTACATTATTAAAAGCCAATTAAACAAGGAACAATATTAAAAACCACCATTTAAAAATGAATGGCATCTTCCCCATGCTTGTTTGCCCGTTTTCTGTGATTGAAAAGCTGATTTGTGGTTTAAAGTTCCTTGACTCTTCTTTCTCAGCAGTGTTTCTGTAATGAGTCATTCTTGAGAGCAGAGCAAGGGAGCTCATCATATTTTTGTGATTCCCTGGGCCAATTTTGTGTCTCTGTTGCTTATAGATTGCTGAACAGCTGATGACGATTGCCTACGAGAGTGGAGTAAATCTGTTTGACACAGCAGAAGTGTACGCGGCTGGAAAGTAAGTCTTGGCACTCACCTTATTGGCCCTAGTTAAAAGAACTAAACCCAGACCTACCAAACTGCCCAACATGAGCTCTTGAGAAACATAGGTATGACTGGGTCAGATAACACTTTTATTAGATAACTAAAAAGGTACAAATCAGAAGCTCTTTTAAGTCTTTCAGGACTTTTCTTTAGGCTTGGGTGTTATAAAAAATTGGGCCACTGGAGGAGAAGTAGAAAGGCCCCCAAAGTCCAATAAATCTGGCTAGACATTATGCTATTGTTTTAGAAAGCAGACTGGCAAAACACGGTCGAAACTGCAGAGCCTGTGTGAAAGGAACGTGGCTAGGTATTAGACCATAGTCTCTCCTGCAGACAAAAAGCCTGTGGGTTTCCTCATTGCCTCAATGAGGCACATAGACTTCTTCTCTTTAGATTAGAACAGAAGAAAAGGGAAGCAATAAAATAGGCTCTATGTCAAAAAAACAGGAGGTGGAATTTAGTTGTCCCATCAGGATAAAATAATTAGATGACAGCAATTGTTCCTGGATTGGCAGAATTGCCGGCTAGCAAATTTGCTTTGCATAGGAATTTGCAGGGACCTCCGTGTTAGGCTGGACTTTCAAAATGGAGGTGATGTCCGCCCTGTGGTTGCCTGCTGTGGCTAATTCTTCCCACCATTGTACCTGTTTTCAGAAACATCACAGTGTTAGGATACAGCACCTTGAAGCCTAACAAGTCTATTTCACTGTGAGCTCTTGTGGATTATGATCTGCATCTTCAGATACTTCAGAGGCATCACAACAGAGATGTCCAGCGCTCCGTCTTGCCTGTTAACCCTTGACTCCTTTCAGCCTGTAGCGCCTGATTCTGTGGCCAGAGTGCTTGACCGCTGTCGAGCCACCACCTCCTCCTTGGACCCTTGCCCAGCCTGGCTAATCAAAGCAGCCAGGGCGATAACAACAGAATGGGCCACTGCAATAATAAATGGGTCTTTCCTTGAGGGCAGGTTTCCCTCTACCCTCAAGGAGACACTCATTAGGCCCATAAGAAAGAAATCTAATTTGGCGGCGGACGAAATGGGCAATTATAGGCCCATCGCCAATGTTTCTTTCATGAACAAAGTGGTCGAGAGGGTGGTGGCTGACCAGCTTCAGGCACATCTGGACGAAGCAGATGCCCTGGATCCATTTCAGTCGGGCTTCAGGCCGTGCCATGGCACAGAGATGGCATTGGTCGCCCTGTACGATGACTTG